TAAATAAGAGGAACTTAATAGAATTTGTCGAGTAAGTTTTTTTAAAGTTCAGTCTTACTGGGCTAGTGTGTGCATTATTATGTAGAAATGAGACATAAGTGGTTTAATATTTCTGGAATTAATAAATTTTGCTTTATTCACTTTTTTTATCATAGTCTATAACGTTTTTATTTTTATTCAGCTGAAATGGGGTGGGAGGCAGAGAGCTCTGTAATGTTAAGGAACGATTATGTCTCTTCCAAGAGCTGACCTGTTCCCAGTACAGATGGTAGTGGGTAGGGACCCACACAGCTCACCAGCTCCCCGTCTCCCCAGTCACAGGGGCCGTTCCAGCCAGGGCTGCTCTGGCCAGATTGAGGCCTTGGATCACCTCAGCGTTGCTCAAAGATTGCGGTCTTTGGGATGGAGAGTAACTATCCATGACGATTTTATAGAGAGGGAGAGAGAGAGAGAGTGTAAGAAATTCCTTAGAGTTCTTTCATCTCCAGGTGGTATATTCATCTTTGATTTTGTCTTTCTAAAATGGTTACCAGTGGAACTGTAATTTTATCTGTACAGCAGTTGCATTTACAGATTTTTATGGCCAGTTTATAGTCATGAGCTACCCATGAAGATTCAAATAAGGAGAGATGGGAGGGATCCAGCCTGGAAAGAGGGAAGGGCCTCCCCATAGAGACAGGCAGTCTGCAGAAAGGGACACGCTGACAGACGTGTAGGCAGAGTGCTCTGTTAAGTGAGGAATATTCACTAGGTAAATAGTGCGAGGTTGAGACCACATTTGGAAGATTCAGATGCCAACCAAAGTTTGGATACCTCTTAGAGCAGCGGTCCCCAACCTTTTTGGCACCAGGGTCCGGTTTCGTGGCAGACAGTTTTTCCACGGACTGGGGGGGGTGGCCCAGGCGGTGATGTGAGCGGTGGGGGTGGATCAGAGCAATGGGGGGATCCGGAGCGGATTATGAAGCTTGCCTCGCACGCCCGCAGCTCACCTCCTGCGGTGTGGCCCGGCTGTTGGGGACCCCTGTCTTCGAATATTACTTATGTATCTCCCTACCCCCGAGAGTCTTTTTAAAAGATCATCTTTTTTCATGGTGCTTTGTTGATGACTTTTAACTAAAGTCAGTTTTTATGACGAACCTTCAGTAGAGCTTTTAGATGCTCGTGGTCTTCTGAATTGAGGTCTCTAATAATCATGACCTCTCGTTTCTTCCTTGTGACAAGGAAGCATAAATTGAACTTACTTGGAACTAAAAGGAGCGGCTGTGACTTAGAATTTAGGTAACTTCCCGTCATGCGAGGCAGTAAGTCCAGCAGTTCTTCAGCGCCATGCCTTCCTCGTCACCCGCTGCCTGACAGCGGTGGGTCCGAGTGTCTCAGTCAGAAATGCTTGAGGTTTCTAACTTTTCACACCAGTAGCTCCGCAGTGCTGTGTTGCCAGCTCCCAGATAACGCGCATGTCAGCTGCTTCTTAGCCTGCCAACGTATTCATTCAGTAAGATTCTGGATTTCCCCAGAGAGGGTTTTTAAAATAAGGAGTTGACCCCGTTGTTGTAGCCTGACTGCAGGGATTTTGGGAAGCGGCCCTGGCAGGGAGCTAGGGGAGGAGCCGCCTGTAACCAACCGTGTGAGGGAACACAGGAAATCCCATGGGAACATGAGCCAGCGAGAGGTCGCATCCTGCCTGGCCTTGGCAAGGTGAGTGGGCCGGCAGGTGGGCCTAGGGATCCAGTGATAAAAGGATTTTGGCGGAGCCATTGCATCCGAAAGTCGTTCTGTGTGGTGAGAACAGCATAAGTAAAAGCAAGGACCTGGCAACCGGGGGTGGGAGGGGGGATGTGCAGGGCAGTCAGGTGGGCGTGGTGTGCTTGAACTTGAACTTGGGCGCCATATGCAGGAGGCTTGTGCCCACTGACAGATAGCTGGTGACCTGTTGGGTCAGGAGAGCTTTGTTGGAGGCATGCGCTTCCGGAAGGGGAATTTTCTAAGGCAGGTTGGATAGAGGGGGCCAGCGGGTGAGTCATAAGGAGAGTTTTCCTCATTTTGCCAGAATTTTTCTGAAATTATAATGTAAACTAATGCTTGTTTAAAGATGTGACTTCAATAAAAAAAATTTTTAAATGATGCTATCAAATATCTATTACAGGATCGGTTACTTGAATACTCAAAACTTAGATTTATTAAATTTCGTATTGCATGTAATGCGTAATAAATTATCTATTTAGAAACATTAGGATTTTGGGTTATTTCAGTGCTACTTGCAGCTCATGTGGAGTCTGCTGAATTTAAGCCTGTGTATTAGTTGTCTAAAATACAGAGCGGTCGTGAGATCCTAGAGCCCGGTAGTCACCCACAGGCGTGTGATTACTGGTCTAAAGGAAGAGGTTGAAGACAGGAAGTAATAATGTAGTGAAGCTACAGTTTATCGTGGACGTGCAGCCGGGGCATCTTCCTGGAGGGAAAGCTGTGACTAACAGAGGCCCTGACGGGTATGCAGCGAAAAGCGCGTTTGCGAGTTCTTGGTTTATCCGGAGGAAGCAGAACAGCATTTTCATGGTTTTCTTATACTTTCTATTTAGTGACTTTAAAAAGATTAAAGTTTTCTTATCACTTTAATTTGTCCAAATAAATGAGATTTTTTTTCTTTCTTAATAATAATCTTTCATACCAGAAATGGGGAGGAGGGCTTGATTTATTTTTTTATAAATATTGGAAAAAAAAATTTTTTTAAATATCCAAATATGTATTTGGTATTTTGTTTACATCAGTTACTAAAAATACTGTCTTACTGGTATTACTGCTAGAGATTTCGTCAAAGGTAGTAGTGATTGACTATCTTATTAAAAGTACAGTTTTTATTATCTAAATTACAAGGACCGTATTGCATTCCCCAAAAATAACGCTTGTGAAAACGTAGTGTGTCCATTCACACTAAAAACTGGGATTTTGAAGTTCAATAGTCAAATAGAGAGCAGAAGAAAAAAGTAACTATGCTTTTAGAACCTTTCCCCCCAAATCTGGCCTTGTTACAAGGAAATAATCACGCAGCATTTGCAGAAAAAGATAAAGAGGGATTTTCAGTACCCCGGTCAGAAATATTATCTGACATCCGCAAAGAAAACTACTCTAGAATATGAGCTCCTTTGGGGGTGGGGACGTGGGGAGGTGTCTGTTTTGTTCGTTCACGTACCCAGAGAGCTTAGGGTGGCACAGGCATTCAGTGACTATTTGCGGAATGAACGCAGCTGTTATTCAAACAGCCCAATTAGGTAATTAATCATAGATTGCATCAAAGTATAGAATGTTATTTGAAGGAGTCATTTAATTAGGTAATATAGGAGGGGTGCCCACTTTAACAGATGGGGCAGGGGGGCTGCCCTAGAAGTAGTGTCCCACGGATATCTTAGGCCTCAGGTTCAAGGAAACCATATTGGCACAAGGGAAGTCAGATGAAAGCTGTATTTATTGCTTTTTTGCTAAGCGATAGGCTAAAATTCAGAAAGCTCCCGTTTATTGAGTGACTATATATACATATATGTACACACACACACGTGTGTGTGTGAAATTTCAAATGTACCCAGAAAAGTACAGTATTTCCCCAGTATCCCAGTAATTTTTTACGTGAGGCAGAAGGGCCAGCTGAGTCGTCGGGGCATGTGGTTGGGTGTCTGGACCGGGCAGGAGACGTATAATGAGGCAGGGTGGTGGATGTCGACGTATAGACAGACAGAAACGGAGAGGGGTCTTGAGGGGAACCGTCGGGAAACCTCAGCCAGAGGGTCAGGAGCTGCTGAGGAGAATACGGATTTTACTTACCGTGTGTAGAGCTTTTGTAGAATCAGCTCCCAGATAATGTAACCCCAGGAAACCTGGAGTGGAGCTGTTGTGTTGAGGCAGTGTGTATGGTCTTCAGAAAGAGGCCAGTGGCAGGTGCTCTTAGGGTCACAAAACGGCACCCCTGCTGGGTTTTCCCTGAGGCGGGAGGTTGGGCAGACTGCCCTCTTTTACCCTGTTCTGTTAACTAAAGGGAAAAATAAGTTTTCAAGTGGAAATTGGGGAGTTCCAGAGTGTGGTAGAAAATTGATGTCAATTAAGTCATTGGTTGAACTACCTTTATACCTTCCTGTGATACCTTATGTTTTTGCTTTTGTGATACAATATTTCGTAAGTACTGAGGTTCGAAATACGTTCTCAGTTGTAGAATATTGGTAGTGACATCCAGATGACGTTTCATACGTATGAATGCTTCTTCCTTTGGTGGCCCTAATAAATTATCTAAAATTCAGATGTTACGTTGTAGTTGTAACGTCCAAATAGAACACTGGCGATTCCATAAGGCAATTGTGTCTATTTCTCACATCCGCCTCACAGAGGCTCCTTGCCCGTCCGTGATGCAACGTGCAGTGAAGCTAGTGCGCGCGCGCTGCGTGGGCTGGTGCTTGTAGTTCAGGACTTCCCTAGGGTTATAGTGCGTGATCCTTAAGTTGCAGCCGTGTAGAGTATTTTCCGCATAATTGTCTCTACCTAAGTCCCTCTTCTTGTTTGCCACAAGAAGGTTTTCCTTGTTTTAGATTTTAAACTTTAAGGGTGTAAGGGGAGGTGGGTACGTTTTGGAACGCAGAAACCCTCTGGTGAGCTGCTTTTGTATCAAGGTGAGTAGCAGTGCTTGCTGCGAGCGTGGCTCACGTACACTTGTGCCGTCAGGACTCATCTCTGCCTGCAGGACTGCAGGTCGGTCGTGGTCACCTCGCCAGCCGACTGGTGATCGACTGATTTTTCAGAAGTAGTTTTTCTTAATTTGGAAAGACAGAGTAGGTGCATTTCCTGTTAGTTTCTTTATATTTACCGGAGTGTTAATTCTATTAATATAGTTTTCGCAATTCGAATTTTCATGTAAAAACAATAGCTAAGACTTTACTTACAGTCATCTATATGCATGTTTTATTTTTACGTTTCTTACTGTGTATTTTCAGTGCGGTGTTTTCCACCTTGTTTTTGTTTAGGGTGCTGGTCAAGACAAACTTGGAATCTACGTCAAGTCTGTTGTAAAAGGAGGTGCTGCTGACGTGGTGGGTATGACTCTTAAAGCGGCCAGCTCTCAGCGCGTCGTGTGTTTAACAAACGACATGCGATGTTCCGGCTGTTTTAGTCTGGAAAACCCAAGTCTGAGCGTACTTACCGTTGGCTTCCTCTCCCCCCTTCTCCCTCTGCTGTCCCCCCCTCCTCTCCTGTCCGCATGCCTTCCGGGTGTGTTCAGGACGGGCGGCTGGCTGCAGGTGACCAGCTCCTCAGCGTGGATGGACGGAGTCTGGTAGGACTCTCTCAAGAAAGGTATCGTTTCTTTATTTGTTTAAAGCTTCAGAGCACTTTTTAGGGATATTTCATATTAAATTTTGGAATTGGAAGACGAAAAACCATGCTAAAAACTATGCCCTTCCTCTCTAAGTGTAAAAGTCTTAGTGTACGTGAAAATTATGTATTTTAGTCTGAATACGTTTCTTTGACTCTTATCACTTGCTGAAATTTCTGGAAGTCATCTACTGTTCTTACTGATAATCAGAGGGAGGTAGTCTGTCAGAACTTGACTCAGGCTGGCGGGTGAGGCCGGCGGGCGTGCTGGCCTCGCCCTGACCACAAGCTGCCGTGGTGACAGGACGGGTGCCTGAATCACTTTTCTTACAGCCGTGATGCTCTCTTCCCAGGGCAGCAGAACTGATGACAAGGACAAGCTCCGTGGTGACGCTGGAAGTAGCAAAGCAAGGAGCCATTTATCACGGTCTCGCTACCCTGCTCAATCAGCCGTCACCCATGATGCAGAGAAGTAAGGACTGCGGGTCGCCGCCACCCCCATTGACTGCTGCCAGCCGTAGCTCATGCTTACTGATCACCTGCCGTGTGCCGGGCTCTTTCCAGTCGCGGCCTCTTCTAATACAGACCCTGTGGAATAGGCCCTGTTGTCGTTACTACCCCGGTCTTAAAGAAGGACGCGAGGCTGAGCGCGGTGCCCAGGATTACTAGATCATGGGCTGCTGGGGCCGGTCGCGCTACGGTGGTGGTAGTTTATTAGGGCCCCCCCCCCCCCCCCCCCCCGCAAGAGCCACTGACAACGTGCACACGCCTGGTGACTGCAGGGGACCCCGCACGTTCCACATGCCAGCCGCACTCGGGGCAGCACTTGGGCAGTAGTAAGTGGAGGAATGACTTTTCATCTTTGACAGACAAACACACGGGATGTAAAGCCTTCAAAGAACAAGTAGAATTCTCTCCCGAAGGAATGTTTACACGCGTGTGTACGAATAGTTGTTTCGGTCTTGCACGCTCTGAGATAGGGCGTGATTGTTATGTAGAGAGCTCCCTTGAACTAAAAAGCTCAGTTTTTGAATAAATAATTTGTTGGTGGGAACCGTGGTTTTGTAGGTACATCAAAAACCTCAGAATAAAATCAGTATAAATGTGGGGCTTTGTAAAGAATTAGTTGAGAAACCAGGGGAAAACCATTATGATGCCCATTGTCTGTGAAATCACCACATACTTTGTATGTCCTTGGCTGGCCGTGTACATCCCCAGAGCCAGTGCCCTGGGCGAGCCCAGAGCCCATGCCTAATAGTGACTGCAGCCGAAGCACTGAGAGGCTGGACCAGACAAACACAAGGCCTTCACACGGCACCGTGGTTTTGCTTTTTTCATGACATGGTACTTAACATATTGGTTGTCTGATGTCTTAGTTTATAGTCATTTGAAAGAAGCAAACTAGATGATGAGTTTAGGACCAACGAGGGAAAAACTGTTGGAATAAATAATAGGTCAGGGCCGTTGAGTGAGAGGACAGGAAAGCTAAAAAGTAAAGAGTGAGTAATCACAGCAGTGACAGCGGTTCCCGATGAGGACAGCAACCCTGGGTGATTAAAGGAATTAATACACATTTTAAAAACTGAGGGAAGCGAGTTTATGTTTCAGCCAGAAGAGTCACTTTAACAGTAATCCTGTTACCTAAGCAGGTAAGCTAGTGAGAAAATGAGCTTTGAAAGAGTAGTTTTTCTTGTCAGTGACCCTTAAATGTTGCTTCCTTTGAAAACTTCCTAGAGATTCTTCAGAAAGATTTTACTTTTATATAAAAGTCACCTCATTTCTTCTGGTAAAAACAGATTCTTACTTGTGGAGTTTTAAGTATTTGTAGCTTCACCTTTCCTTTAAGACTAAACGGTGTTTAAGATAAGATCTTGAACAAAGGAACAGATCATGAAGGTGTTTTGATTTCAGTTTCAGATCGTCGTGGATCAGGTAAACCCCGACCAAAGAGTGAAGGTTTTGAGCTGTATAATAATTCAGCTCAAAACGGGTCCCCGGAGAGCCCTCAGATGCCTTGGGCAGAATACAGCGAACCAAAGAAGTTGCCTGGCGACGACAGGCTGATGAAAAACAGGGCTGACCACCGCTCCAGCCCCAACGTCGCAAGTAAGAGGAGCCTCGCGGCCCTTCTCCCGTTGAGACGCGCGCCCCGCCACGTGCCCGCTCACAGCCAGAGGGAGGAGGGCGCCCCGGCTTTGCTGCGCATAAAAGAACATTATTACCTGCGTAGATTAGCCAACTGGGATGTGTTCTCCATGAAAGATGCTACAGCTAAGGTGCTAACAGGAAATAAAAACTAGTCCGGGAACTTCGATCCCTGGGTGCTCTGGGCAGGTACACTGATGAGGGGGGAGCACAGGTTGCTGGACGCCCCGGGGGGCAGCAGACAGTCTTTATGGTGTTAAAGGGTTGTCAGCAGGAAGCAGCAGCTTCCTGGGAGGAGACATGCCCCAGATACCAGGTTCGCAGATACAGCTTCGTGGCTCCGGGCTCTTGATGATTCAGGAGGCAGGAGTGGGTGAGGTGAGCCCTCACCTCCACGCGCCTTGTTTCTGTGTCTGTGCTCTCGACACCTCGCTGGCGGCGTGCAGGTGCCCGGCGCGAGGTTACTGCCTGTAAAGAGCTCTCGCGAAGTTATGTCGGGCTTGTTTATTTAACATTAGCTTTCTTTCCTGTTTTCCACCAACAGATGAGCCCCCTAGTCCCAGCGGGAAAGGCGCCTATACCTCTGGGACAGCGGCCAAGATAACGTCCGTCTCCACTGGAAACCTCTGCGCTGAGGTCTGAGACGTGAGCACACAGATGCTCCGACAGCAGACCCTTGGGTTCCCCCAGGGGGCCTGAGTTATCTAGGAAAATGTTCTCATGGTTTCTGGTTCCTGAGTGTTTGGGTTTTGAATTTTTAATATAATGGGTAAATGAGCTTTCAGTTAGTAAGTCGGGGCAAAATAAAATGTTTTCTAATTGTTATTAGTACAGGATCCAACACTTTAAATTTTTAACACCGTTTGTAAAATACACGGATCCTACTTTAAAAGAGGGCATTGGAAATTAGATCAGTCTGTGGTACGGACTGCGGAAAGCTCAGCTTCCTTCTCTCTGCCCATCTGCAGGAGCAGACCCCTCCTCCCCGAGCCGAGGCCTACCCCATCCCGACGCAGACCTACACCAGGGAGTACTTCACCTTCCCGGCCTCCAAGTCCCAGGACCGCACGGCTCCTCCCCAGGACCAGTGGCCCCGTTACGAGGAGAAGCCCCACGTGCACACGGACAGCAGCCACTCCAGTACTACAGTCCAGGTGAGAGGGGCGGGGTCCCGACACGTCTTTGGCCCTCAAGGGGACCAGCTTGCGGGAAAACGGAGGGATTTCCGGGGCACAGCTGACATTTTCTGCAGAGCAGCACTGCTGTTCCTCTCTTTGTTTCTCTCGGGTTTCGTGGTCACCTGAGGAAAAGAGGGCATAGGAGAGAATACTGAGCGTGAAAGGTGGTTCTCTGCTCTCTTGCTAAAGGCTTAACTAGGGTCTGTAGATGAGGCTCACTGATCCTGGAGTGGGGCGGTGGGGGGGAAGCAGGAGGCGTCCCCGGCACTCGGCGCGCATCGGCGGCTGTTCCAAACCCCGGGAAAGCTGAGACGGCCGTGGTCCCGCCCGTGAAGCTGAAGCTGAAGCTGGGGTGGGACGCTCACCTAGACCGTAATTACGTGAGCTGGGTTCTGAGCTGAGGGTAAGAGGCCCAAGGAGGGTCGCCTCGGCAGGGGCAGCGTGAGCGAGGCCGGGAGGAGCCCCGTCTGAAGGGCCCGGGCACGAGTCGCCTGGCTGTTCTGTTCGCCCTGAGGCAGACCACCTTCTGTGCGTGGAGGCACGGGGGTTGGACAGCGCCAGGGACCTGCATGCCTACGGCCTGTGAGTGCTGTTTGCCTCGGCCTCCCAGCGTGGGTAATAAGCACCGGAGGAGGGCCAGGGAGCTGAAGGGTCACTTAACGTGGATGTTGAAATGACCAAGAATTTGACAGGACTTATCGCGGGAGGGGGGTGGTGAGTGGGCATCGGCAGCGAAGTGAAGTCCTCGGGGAAAGCGAAGGATGACCCCGTTGTCACTGGGCTGCGAGGGCTAGCAGGCGTGTTGTCTGGATGCACCAACTCCAGAGCTTTGTACTCGAGAAGTGCCGTCCACACGCAGCAGGCGGTCTGGTCGTGCTTTCGTGTGAGCTGCAGGTCATGCGCCCAGTAGTCAGAGCTGCGCTTCTGCACACACGGCAAAGCTGTAGAAAATGTGGGAAGTACATGTTCCATTTTTCTGGCAGGCTGCTGGTTTTTCAAGTGATATATTTCATTTTTTTGTTCTTGGTGTGCCTTTTGAGAAAAGGGAAATAGTGTATTTTCCAGATTTGTGTCTTCAATTTCTACTCATTAATAGGGCTGGAAAGAAAACTGTTTGGCTGGGACATCATAGCTAGATCATTTTCTGGGGGCTTCCCTGGTGGCGCAGTGGTTGAGAATCTGCCTGCTAATGCAGGAGACACGGGTTCGAGCCCTGGTCTGGGAGGATCCCACATGCCGCGGAGCAACTAGGCCCGTGAGCCACAACTACTGAGCCTGCGCATCTGGAGCCTGTGCTCCGCAACAAGAGAGGCCATGACAGTGAGAGGCCCGCGCACCGCGATGAAGAGTGGCCCCCGCTTGCCACAACTAGAGAAAGCCCTCGCACAGAAACGAAGACCCAACACAGCCAGAAATAATTAATAAACTCCTACCCCCAGCATCTTAAAAAAGTCATTTTCAGTCGCATCACGCCACTTTCCGACGTGCCTCCTCCGCGCGCAGGACTGGCCTCGGGGGCAGGTGTGCTCACTGTGTCTCGCACACGCGCAGCGGGTGTGTCCCTCAGATCATCCCGCCGCCTGTCTGAGACTCGGGTCCAGGCTCATCCCTCCTCGCCGCGCCCGGCTCTATGTGCTCGTGGGCCCGTGGGCCCGTGGCCAGCTGGCGGGACTCAGAAAGTCGCGGATGGATCACGTGGCTAGCATTTGATAATTAGTCTGAATGCTAATTAGAATTTTACTGCAGAGAAGTAGTTCTTTTCGCTCTTCACGACACCGGACTAAGCACATGCCCGTGTCTGGCACCGCAGTGCGGACGCCCGTGAGGCCCCAGAACAAGGACGGTGCCGGATGTGGAGAGCCCGAGCCTTCGTGCATTTCGCTGTTTGGCCATTGATGTGGACAGGACGCGCCGCTTTCCTTTTCCCCTTTAGCTTTCTAACAGATACAGACGTCCTCTGGGAAAGCGCCGTCGCGGGATTAGCGCTGGGTGCGGGCAGCCTCGGCCCGTCCTGTACGCTCACCGCACTTTCCCTAACACTCCTTTCTTCCTGAGCTGAACTGTTTATGTACTTTCAGTAACTTCTGGCGGTGGCTGAAACACAACAGTTTCCCGTTTTCTTTTTCCAGCGTGTGACCCGGTCCCAGGAGGAGCTCCGGGAGGATGTCGCGTACCACCTGGAGCGGCAGAGGGTGGAGGCGGCGATGGAGCACAGGTCTGACGGCGGTGACGCGTGGCTCAACCAGGGCTCCTCGCTGGGCTCCAGCACCTCCAGCCAGGAGCACCTGGGCCCCCCCTCCAAGGCGGGCACCCCCGCGTCCACGCTCACCAAGAGCGGCCCTGGGCGCTGGAAGACCCCAGCCGCCTCCCCGCCGGTGCGGACCGACCCGCCCCCCGGGCACTACGGCGATGGGGACGGAGTCCCCGCGGACTCGGCCCTCCCGCCGCCTCCCACCGGCGCCCAGGCGGCTGCAGAGCGGAAGAAGCGGGAGGAGCAGCAGCGCTGGTACGAGAAGGAAAAGGCGCGCCTGGAGGAGGAGCGCGAGCGCCGGCGGCGGGAGCAAGAGCGCAGGTTGGGCCAGCTGCGGGCGCAGGCGCCGCCCCCCGGGCCCCCGCCCCCCGGGCCGCCCTCGCCTGCCGCCCCGCCCGCCCCCGCCCGCGCCCCAGCCCCAGACACCGTCATCCGGGAGCTGCAGCCCCAGCAGCAGCCGCGCACTATTGAGCGCCGGGACTTGCAGTACATCACGGTCAGCAGGGAGGAGCTGGCCTCGGGGGACAGCCTGTCCCCCGACCCCTGGAAGCGGGACGCGCGGGAGAAGCTGGAGAAGCAGCAGCAGCTGCACATCGTGGACCTGCTGAGCCGCGAGATCCAGGAGCTGCAGGGCAAGGCCGAGCGCTCGGCCGAGGAGAGCGACCGGCTGCGCAAGCTCATGCTGGAGTGGCAGTTCCAGAAGCGGCTGCAGGAGTCCAAGCAGAAGGACGAGGACGACGAGGAGGAGGAGGACGACGACGTGGACACCGTGCTGCTCATGCAGCGCCTGGAGGCCGAGCGCAGAGCGCGGGTAACGGGGCCGGGCGGGCGGGTGGGCGGGCACGCGGCACGGGCTCCCAGCCTCCGCGGGGCGTGGGCGTGGCCGGAGCTGCTGTCCTGCGGCGCCGGGGCGAGATGCTCTGGGCACGAGTGCTGGAGAGGCGCTGGTTCTGCTCGGTCCGACGGCGCTTGACAGCTGTGGGGCGCCCACTGGCTGCGGCCGGCTGGCTGGCACGTGGGTGGAGAAGACGCGTTAAAAACCGGTGATCACCGTGATCAGGGGTTGGCAACGTGTCTTGCAACGGCCGCAGAGTAAACGTCTCTCAGGCTCTGTGGGCCGGACAGGCTGTTAACTGCCCCGCTCTGCCGCCGTCGCCGGCACACGGAGGCAGGCGTGCTGTGCCCTGAAGCTTCATGCCGGGACGGGCTGCCCCTGGTCTCCATGGTCCGTGCTCCCCAGGGGTAGCAGAGGGGCGGTTCACAGCTGCAGGGTCAGGTCCGACGTCACGGCCCAGATAGATGGAGACTCTCGAGTGTTATTAAAGTGCTAAGCAATTATATTTCAGTGGTAGCTTAAAGGGAGTGAGAACTTAGAATTTTATTCATGGTTCTGCATGTTATAAAAATAGCTTCTATTCCTTTTGTGTCAACTCAAAGAAAAAAATTTAAATTTATATTAGTTTAATGCAGTCGCTTGTTAAAGTGCCACATCTGAGATTCTCTGTTACCCTGTGTATCAGGAGAGTTGTTGACAGAGAAGCATTTACTGGTATTAATTTGCAGTGAATGCTAGGGACCATTTTACGTTAATGCACTTTAGTGATTTTTTTTTTTTCAGATATAATGCAGTATTCTGAGAAAAAACAGCAAAGGGCATGTCCTTTTTGTCTTTTGGATTTTGTTTCTAATTCCACCTCTGATGTCATCTGTACTGGAGACCTAAACCAAGGGTCTCCTGTCCCGTCAGACCCTTGAATCTTTCCAGCTCAGGATGAAATTCAATCCTGGAGCCTCGGCAGTGAGTGCCTTGAGCCGGCACTGTGATGCCTTTTCACTTTGCTCTGTGAATTATTTTCCTGGAATGTCACCGCACACACTTCCTGTTAGCTCTGTGTTCTCAAGCAGACGTATATGTACCTTGGTCCAAAATTCAGCTGGAATTTCTCTGAGGAAACTTAAATTTCTCAAGTGAAGGTCTAAATGGTAAACATTACATTGTTTTATTAGTAGTTTCCAAGTCATCAGTAGTAAATGTCCCCAAAAACAACTGTATTTACCGTCAATACTGTTTTGTTTGAAAGAGCAGCTGTTTGATGACGGACCGATCACTTTCGCATAAGGGTCCTTTGAAGGATTTCCACTTTCTGGTCAGCACTCTGGCCCGTCTGTAGGGGGTTAGCTGTGTGCCCGTCACGGCCGCCCACCCCTGCTCCACCCGGGTCCTAGTGGACGCGCTGCAGGTGGGCTCCCGGAGAGGCTGCTGTGGCCGTGGCCCTGGGGCTCTGTCCCCACAATGCGAGGCAAGAAGGCTTACCTCTGACGCAGCCTTAGCTCTGAATCTACAGCTGATGTTTATGGTAAATAAGTGGACGTCATTAATATTTACTGTTGAGGGAGAAGTTAGAAACCACGTTGCAGTGTTTCTCTAATTACGCTTTCCTCTGAAGGCTAAAATTTTATTGAATGTCTCCCAGTTTCTCCAAATGATTAAAACACTGAATATTTCAAAGCCTCTTGGCATGAATTACGATATTTTACGACAGTTTAGAGTATCTGTGTGTTTTATCATTACTTATTTTAAGATTAATATGTTAGTCTCCAAATAAGAGAGCTAAGGGAAATTTTACTCATCTTAGCTGCTGTGTGTCTTAATAATAAAGCTCAAGGATTTAATACCATGTGGGCACTTTTCTGTTTCTGAATACTGGAAATTGGTCTGTAGTTTCCGTACTTTTCTCACTGGGTTGTCCTTCAAACACAGATGGAGCATGGGAACCACAGATACGCTGGTGGCGGATACAGATCTAAACTGAACCTTTTTTTCACACTTCATCTTTCTTTTCTTTCCTTCTCTGTTACCTGCAGCAGACTGCTATACCAGCAATCTCTGTTCTAGATTTGGTATGTTCTTGTTTCTTTCCCTTGGGTACTTTTTTCCTGTCTTGATTTCCTTTTTTTCCTTTTAGTGGTGGTGGTTTTATGTTTTCAGTAGATCTGGTTCTCAGGGGTGTCCTAGATCAGGATCTGTAGTTCCCTGACTCTAGAAGCATGCTTTTGAATGTGTTTAGATTTAGTTATTCTTTGCTTTTCTCTGTTACTTTTTAACTGTTACTTACTGTTTGTTTATGGTTTTGACCTTTACTCAGTTTTAGTCTTAAAATTCGTACTCTGTATTCTTACGTACTCATAAATACATAGGCAGATGAGAAGTTTTGCAGTGAGTAATCTTTTTTTTTCTTGTTACATTAGAAATACGTTTTAAGTATTCATTATTAGAAGCTCAGTTCAACTGGTATTGACATTGTTTGCCAATTAAGATGTAACTGTCTAGGGTGTAACTGTCTATTGGCAGAGAAAGAGGAATTTCCAGTAAACATTTATTCTGTGTTTTCTTCAATAACACCACATGATTTTAGTTTAGTTTATCAGCCATACCAGTTCATTGCCAAAAAATACTTGAGGTCGCATTCTACTGTAACTGTGATGTGTTTTATGTCCATATTGGGGAAATTGAGTTGGTCATTTAGCACCCTCATGCTTGAGGGCGGTACCTCTCTCGACTGCCAGACACTCATGCTCTGGTGTATTGATACTGACTTTAAGTCAACATTTGTTAGTCAGCTTTTAAATGATATAAGGCCAGTATCTGACAATACTTTTAAAAAAATCTCTGAATCCAGGTTTGACTCTAATGGCCTTTTCACCAAATAACAGCCCTCCTTTTTTTGTTTTGTTTTGTTCTTTTTTTTCAATTTAAATAGCATGATGGCAGTGTCACTCCAAAGGGAAACCTCTCTTGAAAACATCTCTCCTCGATGACTGAGAGGCATGTTTTCTGGGCTTTGTGTTTTTCTCCGTATGAGACAGAGATGAGAAGTATCTGCTTCTTTCCCTGCCTCTCTGTGTGTTAAGGTGTCCGTATGGAAGGGGGTGGGAGACACCAGTCAGTCCCACTCGTCTCTTCAGGTACCAGGTCCTTGTCACACGCGTGTAGGCCAGGCAGCCTGGGGCCTCAGCTTTGAGATGCGCCGACTGCGGCCCCAAGAGAATCCTGAGTCGGGGCAGGGCGGGCGCGGGGGCGGGGGGGGGGGGGGGGGGGGCGTGGTGGTGACAGGTGAGTGACAATACCCAAGGGTAAAGGGTGCACTAAGATTTTTCTTTCAAAGGCGTAGTTCGGGTTTTTCTTCCTTTAAAAGACAATTATTTCGAGTGCTGATGTTGACGGTAAGCACCATGTTTCCGAGCATTTCTTAGCCTGATTCCCCAGCAGAGGTTGAGCTGTTGCCTTGTCCTGGGGGCTGTTAGGCACTGGGCCCCCCAGAGACGATGGGGACCAGGTACAGGCGTGTGCCCACTTGTGTAGAGCCCCGCCTGTGCGGTCTGTAAGGCCTTTCCTTAGGCTTTGTCCCGGGATATTTATGGTGACGCGTGGGATAAATGGGAGCTTCGGAGAGGTGGCGAGGCTGCCCTGGCGGCTCTGGTCCCTGGGTCCCTGAGTGCCCGTCGCCCCACGTGGGCCCAGGGCCGCCCTCCCCTGCGCTCACCTACCTCCTCCCGGACCCGAGCCTCCCGTGCACTTGCATACGGGACGGGACGGCAGGACGGCGAGCTGCCGTCTGCTGCACCTGCAGCCTCCCCGCTGCGCCCGACTCTCCCAGTCGCCCAGTCTGGGGAGCCTGCGGTTGCCATGGCGCCTCTCCCCCCCCTGCAGAGGGATTCCCAGCTTCCTGGGAACCTGACCACCTGCAGAGTGGCTCGCTCGCCCGGGCCCGTGCTCCCTTTGCAGACTCTCCTGCACACGGCTGCCGCCGCCCGGCAGGTCGCAGAAGCCCCGCGACCCTGCAGCGGCCCCCTGCCCCTCCAGAAGCACCCCGGGTCTCCCGGCCCGCAGGACGCCTCCCGGGCCCACCCGGCGCTGCGGCCGCACCTGCTGGCCCTGCTGACCTCTGAAGGGCAGCCGGTCCTGCCCCCTGCAGACAGGAGGGGAGCTCAGCCTTCACTACTCTAGGCGGCTGGGTGACCGCTTCTGTGGCCCTCTCGTCCGTGACAGCTGCAACGTGCGCAGACGAGAAGGGCAGGCCTAGTACCCAATGTCGTGTAGACTGAGAGTAGAGATCCTGACCAGAATATTCTGGGTTCATATTTAGTATTCTTTGTGCTTCACGAAAATGTCTGCTGCTCGTACGACGGTTACTGCGAACCATCTGTCAAGGAGACACTTCCGAGACCAGCGGTCTCTCAGCTGGCCCGTCGCAGCTTCGCCTCCTGCCAGTTGAGTGGTTCATCTTCCGTCTCAGATGACGCAACAGCTCACGGGAAGAATCCCTCACCCTTGGGTAGAGCAGGGAGGGGGTGTTTTCAGAGACGCTGTGGGCTGCCTTCTTGTTTGGCCTTTATGTAGAAATTGGCCATAGCCCTCCGGAGCATCTCAGGTATGGAAGCAGTTGAATTAGATGCTTTGTAGAAACCTCAAGCAAGAATCAGTAGGAACCGTAATGGAGAGTTGTACCTGCGGAGGGGCCTGTCTCAGAAGGTAGCAGAGCATTCTCTGCCTGTTCAGGTGGGAGACCCTGCCCGGGATGTTGAGGCTGGAGGGTAGACACAGCCCACCTTCGGGAAGCGTCAGTTTTATTCAAGGAGGAGAAATAAGTTCATACTCAAACCAGCATGTGTGCGTTTGGGAGTAGAACACGAAGTTCCTGTGGTTGTGTCAGGGGGAGAACAGATGCCCTAGGCGAACGTCACATGTCTGCTCTGGGCTGCTGTGAGCCACGCTTCTTACCTGTCTCTGCTGCTGGAGTAGGCCTGCACCTGTAGGTCTCCCCTTAGAACTCTGGACAGAATCGTATTCCTTCAGTTACAAAGAAGGGGACGGCTGCACCCTGGGCAGGGAGCCCCACTGACGGAGGGCCGAGAGCTGGTGACGCGGCAGGAAGCTGCGTGTGCTAGGACAGGACGCCAGAGTCCTGTCCTAATAAGTGACCTATCGGGGCCTCTCTATCTGGGGCCCTTAAAGTTGTTTTAGGGTGAGTATTTTTAATGGGTGGGAGCATAAGCCGAAAAGGCCTGCAGAGAGAGAGGGTGATGTGCTTAACAGACTTACACTTGCTTTTCAGAGAAAATGTCAAAAAGTAAAGGATGTGTTGGCCCCGTTTTGTATTCAGATATTTCAACATGAAATTAAAGATACAAGTTACCGTATTTTTGTGGAACAAAAGTATAAAGTATAGGGCTTCCCTGGTGGCGCAGTGGTTGGGAGTCTGCCTGCCGACACAGGGGACACGGGTTCGTGCCCCGGTCCGGAAAGATTCCCCCAAAAAAGTATAAAGTCTAAACACACAGACCTCAACGTACTATTTTTTTAACTATTTTTTCCGGACTGCCTCAGTATCGTAAGGCCTTGGGTCAGGCTTGCGTGCTGCTTTCAGAATCCCAGCCTAGTTCTTGGTTGGAGTAGCTTCAGTCTGGGCTGTCTTGACTCACTCTATAAGAATGATTACTATGTCTATTCAAGTCTAGTTTCCCCAAGTAGAACTTCCTACGAGACTGTTTTGATAGCATGCGACTTTTCGTTCCTTTAATGTGAAACAGCGAGCTTGTCTGCATTTCATGTAACCTCACAGTGTTCAGGCCCCGTCAGGCACTGGCTCTCAGAACCATTAACTTCCCAACTTAAGTTGAAGTGCTCTTTAACTGTTGTGAGACGTAACCCGTACACCTCGGTGTACCACCCGGCTCTGTTATGTGGGGGAAAAGTAAGAGGTTCTCTTTTCTCTCTCTCTCTCTTTTTTTTTTTTTTTTTTCCTGAGTAAAACAGGCTTTTTTTTAAAAGCAAAACAGCCTGTGTTTTGAAAATGAAAATACCTGAAACAGCTTATCAAAGAGTGGAAAGAAACTGCCTTAGTTCTAACAGCACTGGTTCATCTGCTACCTTAAAATAGAAACCAGTGAAACAGCACGAGGGGAAGGCTCCTTGTTTACCACCGTCAGGATTTTAAGAGAAAATGCCTGTTGATAGATTTATAAGATAGAGTTCTGTACCTTTAATTATGAGAATTGAAATGGCTCTGATTTCGTAAAATTATCCTGTTTAACTTACAGGAGCTGATTCAGTGTGTACTGATTTTCTTGCTCAGAACTTGTTTTTCGTTAGGTCTAAAAAGTACTGATAGAGCATAATGAAATGAGTTTTTGCTTTATTGGGTAACAGAAACACCTCTGATGCATTCGTGCAGTTTTACATCCTTCCACAAATTACTCTTCTGCACGTGTTTAATGTGATCAATTGCTGTTGTATTTTGTTATTTTTATTTGGGTGATGTGTCCCATAATTTGTGCTGATGACTCTAAAATTCCTGGTAAGTCCTTTCCTCTGCGTCTCCACGCAGCAGGGCACTTCTGACTGCTTCCATGCTTCTTAATCATTAGTGTCTACTCCTGCTCCAAAACCTCCAAAACCTAATAATTATCCTAGCATCCTTCTAGGCTTATACCTAGAGTATACTAAAGAGGTAGTTAAATTAATTTGTTCTCCTTGAGAAGGGAATTTTAATTTTTTTCTGAGATGTTTTATTTTTGTTCACTGACATGAAAAAGCGTGATTACACAAGTTAGTTACTTTCCCACCAGATACAGTTTTTGTTCCACAGAAGCCAAGCAAGAGTCAAGTTGTTCGGTTTTTGTTTTTGTTTAGGAAAAAAATACACTCCGACAGTTCAGATCCAGAAGTTAACGTTTTCTGGGTTTGCTGTGAGTAACCTATAGAACAGCTAGTGGTTACGTAGATTCTGAAGTACACCTTGAGTGATTTTATGTCAGGGGTTCCTGCCGTGGTTAGAGGTTGAACTAGATGGCCTCAGTGCTATTTTAATTTCAAATTTTGAGTCACCTCTTGTGCCACGCCCAGGTCTGGAACAGAGAAGAAGTAAATGGCGAATGCGAGCTTTTCCAAGTCGCCGTTACCTTAGGCTGTAGCTGCAAAAGTAGCTGTAGCCTGCGGACATGGCGAAGAGAGACTCTTCCTCTGTTCTCTGCTAGTCAAATGCGCTTTTAATTCGCGGCTCCCTGAGGCGTTTTCAACCTGTAGTGTACAGCGGAGTGTGACCAGGAGGGCACAGGAGCTGAAAGCCGAGTAGAATGCGTCTCAGGGGTTTGGAGGTGTCCTTAAGTATTTGAATGGTATGAAGGACAGATACTAAATTTGTTTTGTATTGTGTCAGAAAGGCAGAACCTGAAGGACGAAAGATAGACAGCAATGAGGTGATGAATTTTAGAACAGCAGGAAGGCTTTTGGACTAGTAGTTACCACTGTCCCGGGAGGCAGGCTGTAGGCCCCAGACACTGAAGGTGCTCGAACAGGATGGACAGTTACTTGACAAACATGTAGCAGGACAGAGTTCCAGTAAGGTTCCTCCCGAATTTCAGCTTCACATTCTGTGAATCAGACTTTGGGGGATCCCTGAACTGGGAAGGAATTCTTGGCGTCTGGGGTGGGACCCAGAGGGAACGGATGGCAAAGGGCCAGGACGGGCACGGGCGCTGGAGCTTCTGCTGCCACGTGGGCCTCACCCCACCCCCATCCAGAGGCTAGTGTTCACCTGCCACGGGCCGCGAGAGTGGGGAGTCTTTCTTGACCTTCACGGTGGAAACTGAACCGGGGCAAAGGAAGGGGGTGGGCCAGTGTGTCTCCCGGCTCCGTACGCTGGAGCCCGTCTCTGCCTCCACGTGAGCTGCTTCAGCTGAGTATGTCCTAGTGAAAGAACTGCGCTGTTTCACGTGTGAGCGTCCAGGGTAAATGCCTCCTCCTCTGAGCCACAGTCGATGGAAGCGTAGTTCTGGAGCGGTGGGGACGGAGTCGTTAGATGGCGGGCTCTGGTGTCCGCCGTGACCTCCGCCTGGTGTCTGTCCTCAGCCATGCGTGTGCTTGTGTCGTGTGCGCGTCCTGTGTGTGGCGCTGGGACGCTCCGGGCGCGCACTGAACGGGACCTGTCCTCAGTTGCAGGACGAGGAGCGGCGGCGGCAGCAGCAGCTGGAGGAGATGCGGACCCGGGAGGCTGAGCAGCGGGCCCGGCAGGAGGAGCAGCGGGCCAGGCGCGAGGCCGAAGAAAAGGTCCTGGTGCTCTGAGGGCGAGGGGTGCGCGGCTGAGGGGCCCGGGACGCGCAAGGGGGCCGCCGCTGAAACTGGAGCCCGGTCGGCCAGCCGGGCCCCGGCCCTGTCCTCTGAGCTGTCATCCCTTTCTCCCCCGGGCTGTCCCCCTCCCCCTTCTCCTCCTGCCTGTCCCCCTTCTCCTCCTGGCTGTACCCCTCCCCCTTCTGCTGGCTGTCCCCCCTCCCCCTTCTCCTCCTGCCTGTCCCCCTTCTCCTCCTGCCTGTCCCCCCTCCCCCTTCTCCTCTGGGCTGTCCCCCCTCCCCCTTCTCCTCCTGGCTGTCCCCCTCCCCCTTCTCCTCCTGGCTGTCCCCCCTCCCCCTTCTCCTCCTGGCTGTCCCCCCACGCCCTCTCCTCCGAGTCTTGTCGCTCAAGCTTGTGGACTGTGGGGCCTCTGTGTGCTCGGGGCTCTGGCCTTTGCTGGACAGGGTCCAGCTTGTCACTGTGAAGGTGACAAGTGTCCAGTTGTTCACAGGGAGGTCGGGCCGTGGGAAGGACAGGAAACTAGGAAGTCACTCTGTTAACCTTAAGGGTTTCAAATCGGTTATTTCATGACTTAATTCTGGTCAGGGGCGAAGAGAGCAAATGGCTTATAGAAAACACGATACAAGGAAATTTAATTTAGTGTGTAATCTGGTAGATATCCTGAGTTATTGCTTTGTTTCCATATGTGGGTTTCTGAGATTCAGGTAATCCTTTTAATTGCTTTTAACATGACAGCACACTTGAGCTCCCCTGAGAAATGGGTGCTTGGTGATGCTGCCCTCCAGGCCCTGCCGTCTGTGGGCGCATCGCCGCGGCTCTGGGCTCGCTTCTGGGTCTCTCCGTGGCCGGCCGGGCCCTGGACAAGGTGTGGGAGAAGCTGGCCTTCCGTTACCTCCCTTCTGTGAAGGCGGGAGCTCTGAGGTCATGGCTCCTGGTGGGGAAAGTCCAGCGAGCACCCTCACAGCTCACCCTGCAGGAGGAAGCTTGGGAGGCTCTGGTAGTGATGGGGTCTGTGGGGACGCGACAGGCAGAGAGTAAGACAGTGGAAATGACGGATGACTTGGTTAAGTGCGAGCCAGGTAGATGGCGTGGGCACACCTGCACTGAAACGAGCCATGTCTACAGTCTGTTGGCCTTTGCCATTCCTGTCATCATGCTGTCGGCTGTGCCTGAAGAGCTTGTGCGCTGTTCCCAGAGTCTGGGGTTTCGTGGTGAGGCTCCCCTCGAGCTTGTCAAAGTCAGTAATGCGTCTAAGGAAATGGGGTTTCCACAGTTTGAGCCACTAGACCCGGGTTTTACAGTGTCTGTCGTGCTGCTGTGCCGGGGCTGCTCGCAGGGTGTGTTTTCCTGGCCGGGCCCCTCAGCTGTCTGTCCCACCTCTCTCTGCCTGAGCCCTCGGCCACCTGGGAGTAGTGCCCGCGGGGAGGCGGCCAGGCCATGTTCTCCACGTTGGGAAACTCCTGGGTTATTTGACTTTTTTCCAGTGTGCGGTCTCACAACTTGTGGTTATGTCAGGTGCACCTGTGTGTGGGTGACTGCTTCTATAATTGAGCACTCGGTGTAAAAGGAAGTCGAATAACCTATTTTTTATAGAGAATGTCCAAAATTGATGGGTTTCTCTGTCCTAGGAAAACGTGCCATTCACTTTTGGGTAGAATGAAGTCTTCTCGGTTCATGTGACTATACCTGCTCTTAGTGTAACTGAAAGAACATGTTGTGGTTTCCCTAAAATGTGGCCAAGTGAGCTTTGTTCACGTAATACTAAGATCCCTCACAACCCCACTTAAACTCCGCAGAGGTCGTTCCAGATTTAATTCCCCACTCTAACAGAACGCTCATTTTGTGTAGAAAATAAGGTAAAAATGTTTTTCCTTCAGGGTGTCTCAACATAGTGTAAGAAGATGAAGTGAGAAATGGGGCCCAGGGCCAGGATTGAGGCTGGCATCTGTTCTTAGCGTTTTCTCCCTCAGAAGGTGAAGCTTTGCCCACTGTGCACTCGTGTGTGTGTGTGTGTGTGGGTGTGGGTGTGGGTGTGGTGTGGTGTGGAGGGAGTAGGGAGAAGACACAGTGTGCAAAGTGAAATGGGGACTAAAAACTTTAATCCTAATGCCAGCAAGGCCCCTAAAATTAGTCACCTTCCGTTGAATGAATTTCAGGTCCACTGTACTTCCGTTCTGCACATTGTACGTTGAACATTCCTCAAGTTAAGGCAGATTACTGTTTGATCTTTCGGCTCTTTTCTTCTTCACTTTTTTCTTGTGTTCTGAAACTTTTGTCAATCTTTAACAAAACTGTGCTGTTACTTTTTTCAATGTTAAATTAACACTGTCAACTGTAGTTTGTGCAGATATATGTCAGAAAAAATGTACAGTCTGTGTCAAAATATATTTGAATATCTTGTTGCCTGGCTCTCTCAATTTTCTGTCTGGCAGGGAGTTTATTAAGATTTGAAATACCAATTAAAAACCGTGGAAAGCGTATTGGTTGTGACCTTGCAAAGATGAGTAATGTTTTTTTACAGTTCGGGGTTTCCTAGTCACTTCCCTCTGAATACCTAGAAGTCAGCCAGGTGACGTAATCACGTCCTTCTTGTCAAGGAAGGACCGCTCTTCTGAGCTTACTGGGGTTCGGTGGAAAAGCACCCAGGGCTGCACTTCGGGAAGTGCCAGCTCTAGAAAGGCAGGTGCAGCCTAGTTTTGGTGTGCCTGTGTCTTTAAACTCAGGAGTGACAGGTAAGTTACTGTCCTACCGGCAACAGAAGGAGAGAGAGAGAAGCGGCTGGGGATGGGACAGCCACGTGGTACCTGGGGCTGGGGCCCTGACAGCTCCTTCATTCCTCCCTCCCCCGTCCCCACGCGGTCTGGCGTCGGAGACCGAGTCCCAAGGAAAGATGGTGTCTGGGTCCATCCGCCGTGGTGCTGGGGGACCCGGGGCAGGCCCGTCCCTTCCTGCCTGCTGACCTCGCGCTTCTGTCCACTGCCACAGAGGCGACAGGAGGAGGGGTATTACAGCCGCCTGGAGGCCGAGCGGCGCCGACAACACGACGAGGCCGAGCGCCAGCTGCTGGAGCCCGAGGAGCTGGGCCTGGGCCGCCCTCCGCTCCCGCGGGGCTACGAGCCCTCGGCCCCCGCGCCCCCGCCGCCGCCCCAGCGCACCGCCTCCTACCTGCAGGCGCAGGTGCTCTCCCCCGACGCCCTGTACACCGCCAAGCTCGTGGCTTACACCGAGGAGGACGACGACGAGGACGGCGGCCCGGCAGGTCAGGATGCGCCTCCCGCGCCGGGCCCTCCCCGCGCCGCGGCGCCGGCCTGCGGTGGCGTCTTCCTCTCCAGCCCACCCCCCGCCCCTGCCACCAAGCCGAGCTTCTGCCGTCTGTCCGGCTGCCCCTCCGCGCCGCCCGCCGTAGAGCGGGGCTCTCTCTGCTCCACCGCAGCGGGAAGGCCGGCGTTCCTGCTCTGGGGCAGGCGCTCTCAGGGCGCCAGCAGTGATCTCCGCGCTGGAAACCGTCCCGTTTCCGCAGTCAGCCGGCAGCGGCAGCCCTCCTCCGTCCCCCTAATCGCTTGAAGCGCTGTTGGTCCCGGCCTGCGTCCCCTACCTCAAATAAGTGGGTGCGCACTCGAGCATCTCGGTGTCCACAGTTAAATTTCTTCCTGTCGCTAGTGCCGTCGGCACCTGTGTACTTCCAGCTGTTTAACACACGCAGAGCTTCGTGTTGCCGGCTGAGCCGCCCTGTCGGGGTGGGTGTGAAGCGACCCCCGCCCGAGCCGGCCCTGTCCCTCCCAGTCCCTCCCACGCTCATACGTCCCGGCCCTGCTGGCCAGGCCCAGGGGGCGTGCGGCTGCCTCTGGCCGTGACCCTCCGTGGACCTCAGAGCACACCCACGGGTGCCGCAGGCCCGTGTTCCTAATAGCTTTGGAGACAGCGCTGAAAGTTAGATGTGTTCTCAAGATTCAGGCTTCAGCCTGATCTGGCCACTTTAAACATTGGGAGGCTGGCAGTAGACATGCTCAAACTGAGTCTTCTCGGTTCTGCAGAGTCCGTGCCTCGGGCTCCTGGCAGTTCTAAAAGAACTGAATAGTCAAACTGAAGTAACCGTGACTCGTAGGTAAACGAGTTTTACTAGGATCTTTCTCGCCACCTGAGTCAGAGCTCTGATTCACTTGGAAGGTTTAGTAGATAATCCTTAGGTAGAGTCACTTAGAAGCCAACGTTAAATCTTTTTGTAAAATTTCTGTTGCAAATATCTAGAATGTGGTACCTTTAAAGACCTGTGTGATAATAGCAATTTTTGAAGCAAGATGCCATCAGACTACAGGCTGAACCTTAGATGTTTTGTGAGTGTCGTGACACAGATAAATAGGTTTGGTGAGGGATATTGTAGTGCGGTGTCACTTCTAGCCATCTGGGCTTTCAGTCACATCACTAGCCCTTCTTCTATTTCACACTAAAAGTACCGCATGGGAGCAGGTTACACCCTGCGTCTGGTCGCTCCTGCTTCTTGAAGATTCCTCGTAAAGTGCAGAGCTGTCTGCGTTCTGCCCTCGTGTCCGCCAGCTCCCCCACTGTCTCACCCTGTTCAGCTCCCCCCTCTGCCATGAGCCTCTGTGGCCTGGACTCGGTTCTTCCCCTGATGCTGTGAGGAGTAGGGTTAGGGTACGGATTGGAGTGGATGATGTCAAATTTTAGCATAGCAACGTGTTAAAAAATGTTCTTTACTAAAGCTCTTTGAAAATGATTTGAAGAATGTGTAGTGTTGGGCTTCCCTGGTGGCGCAGTGGTTGAGAGTCTGCCTGCCGATGCAGGGGACGCGGGTTCGTGCCCCGGTCCGGGAAGATCCCACATGCCGCGGAGCGGC